TGCAAAAATTTCTATATCTTTTATAACCAGCAGAAAATTTTAAATTATCAGGAGGAAGTTTTGATTTTATATATATGTATACAGCGGACGAGACCAGACCGTAGCCAAGGTTTAATAAATAGTTTACAAAGTACCTCAAGTACTTATTATATATATTTATACCAAAAGTATTTTACAATATTAATGCTACAAATATCATTTTCAAGTTTCGTCTTACGGACATAGTGTAGCTGCGTATGCAGTATTTTCTAGGTAAGGTTTATTGTAATGTTAGTGAAATTGCTTGATGATTAGTAAGCAAAGAATTAGTGTGTGTATAGAATTAATGTAGTAGTATTACTGGTGTTAAAGAAGCTTTATTTGATTTAATCCCAAAATGGTCTAAACATGAGCCACTTTAATGTATAGGGTGGTAATCTGTTGGTAACAGACCATGAAAAGAGCTGGTATTTAGGTAGTTATGTGCGTGGTTATCTGTTTCCCATGGGTAAAATTAATATTTTTGTCACCGGTTAGGTTTATATTTTTATATGTGCTAACATTGTTCAAGGTAATATCAAGGGACTCTAAAAATCTATCAATATTTTTAGAAGGAGATCTGTAAATTGCTATAACAATCGTCTTGGCTCAGGATCATGTTTTGTGACAGTCCTTGGGGGAGCCCTATGTCCAGCAGCGGACTTGTGAAGGACTGTATAGATGATCATCCTAGCAATAATTAGACTTGAAATTCTAAATTCTTTTTTTTAAAGGCAATTTACGGAAAAAAATGTATCTCGAACGGTAGGCAATATCAATGACATAATATTATACGGAACTAGCTAGCACTACCAACAAACGCACTGTATGATATTGGTTAATCGATTTCGTTCGGGAAATTTCGACCTCACAAATTAACCTCGCAGCCTGAACAGAAGGTAGTGGAAGCAATTTGGTCACAAACTACGGCTAACGAGTGTGTACTTTTGACCTAAGTGTCAAAACAATATCAGATAATTTGATTCAAATTATGTTAGTCGAAAATGGGTAAAGAAATTTGAAAATTGGTACTGTACGAACTAAGTGAGCAATATCGTAAGGCTCGCATCCAAACTCGCATTGTAGTGCTGAATAAGCAGAGAAAAAGAGAATTTTGAGGGGCTATCTGCAATAGGAAGCAGATTCTATACCACAATCGTAAGCGTTCGTCACAGTGATAAGATCCAGGTGCCCAAGTCAGACAGTGCCCGAAGCAAATGCTTAGCCCGAAGAGGCAGATGGAATACTTTTTGGTGCCTTTCACTACTACTTCTTGCCATTTAGCGGAAAAGTTAATACTGACCGTTGTTGTTAAGAATTGCAAATTATCATGGAGATGCTGTCCACATAACCCAGATTGGAGAACTGTCCTTCGGCATTGTTTTTTCATAACAACGCCCAGCCACATTCTGCACAAAGTATGTTGGCAAAATTAGCATGGCTTAAACTAGATCCTTCCTCATCCACCATTGTCTTAAGAACTTACCCCAAGAGATTTCCACTTACAAAATGTAGGTAATTTAAATAGTATTTTTTTTCAAAGAAGTAAAAAAGAAAGCCATCTTGTAGTACTGTGTGTAGGTATGAAAACGTTACCTCACTCACGCTACGCTTGTATAGTTCAGTTTTGCTTATTTTAATACAATAAAAATAAAAACAAACTTGTGTAAAGTGACTCCAAAACGACCTAAAGTAATAGGATAGGATATAATTGATATTATAGTCATCTATATTCTAGTTTAGTTATAAACTTTATAATTTTTTTTAAAAACTATGGTCTTTTGGTTTGTCTTTCCGGGTTAATCTACTGGATGGCTGAACCAATATTAATAAAATTTTACGAACATATAGAGAGCAATGCCAGGAGGTATCTAGCCTATATGTTATCCGAACAACTTGGAGATTTTGTTTTTATAAAAACGAAAAATCTCATTAACACATGTTATACAAGCGTGCTCGGACGGGTCACTAATTCAATATATGTTTCACATGGTTTCATAATGAAATCTACACAATGTACCTACTTTGCGGAGATTTTATTATGAAACCATTGTTTGAATAGGGATTTATTGTCTTTATGAGATTTTTAAAATTATTTTTATTTGCGTTTCTGTCTTCACACAACCCCTTGTCTCTTCAATCTTTATAAAAATTTTTCGTTTAGTCTAATAATAACATCTAAAAATATTAATAGATATTTAAAAATTTAAAAAGTACAGTAACGTCGCTAAGAGCTCATCCATTATCGTGCATACAAATATATCGAACATGTTAAAATTTGTCAGCCTATAAAATTTTAACATTCAAGTCTTTTTCTGTGTCGTTCATTTTCAAAACTAAGAAATGTTCGGCAAAGCGCGTTTACTCCAGTCATAATTTACAAAGAACAACTGCGGGTGAGATGCGGTTAAAGAGGATTTTCCCAGGAAGTTTTTACATTGATAAAATGCTTTTAGCGTTATAGTAAATTTCAAATTAAAGCTGGAATCACAAGTGAACAATTACGATTTATTTATGAACGCAAAGTAAACATTTAATATTTTTAGTTTTTTAACGTTATATAAAAACGAAGGACATGATGTTGAATTTATTAAAAGTAATGTATTCACATTACTGATAGTCATATTATGTGACTTATCAAGTCAAATTGATTAGTTAAAGTTAACTGTTTAGGTCAATCTTTCAATTGACTTTACCCCATACTTTTACGAATAGAATTATTGAAAAAAAGCTGACATTGCCTGATTAAATTAAGACAATGGTAATGAAATTAAGAAAGAAATGGTAATAAATCATAAAATCCTTATAGCCTATTAAAGTCCACTGCTAAACATAGGCCTACCCCATAGACTGCCTCATAGGGGGGATATTCTTTATAAAATATAAATGCCACGCTTGGCAAGCGGATTGGCAACCGCAGTTTTCAGTTTTTAGTTCTATAGTAGTTTTTGGGAAGACGCTGCTACCCATGTCCTGGTTTGTTTGCCCCTGTCGCCTGTGACACCTACAGGACAATATATGCTAGTGGATATTATTACAACGACACAATATGGTTATCTTACAACTCAAACCATAAAACAATTTTTTTAATTGTATTTTGTCGGAATTTTTGTCATTCACGAATATTTTATAATATTTAAAAATAGTTTATATTAATACAATAAAATAATATAGTATGGCCATTTGGTCAGTTTACAGCAGCGGACAAGTCAATTATTTGGTATGTTTTATGTGTTATAGATATGTCCGAATAATAATTCATTCAAAGCCTTGGTTAATTCCAAGTAAATCCTGATAATTCTATGCTCAAAAATTATTAAGTCAGTAGTTCAAGCATTGAAATGATTTATGAGAAGTTTAACTACTAAGAAAAAAGTCTCATTCTCTGAGAATTAACGCTATGTGATTTACATGAATATTTTTTTCTAATATTGATATAATTTTGCAGGATTTCAAATGATTATTTTGGAATGAAGTTAACATCAATTTGTCATCTTGACCCAATTTCGGTCGCGGCAGCCAGTCGTAACGAAGACACTGTCTATTCTCTCACTCTAATAGTCCGATGGGAAAGCAAATCGACACGAATAGAAAGATCAGGCGCAGGACCAACGGTATTATTTGGTATTAGAAAAAACACATTTGCACCCGGACGCTGGCTGGGCGGGTAGCTGGTTCGGTAAATATGCCACAAAGTTGTATTTTCAGTCACGACTGTTCTTAGGCAAATATGAAATAAAGTTACTTATCTGAAATAACTTACTTATCCAAAATAAATTTCAAATCACGTTGATAAATTGTGCATATAAATAAAGAATTAGTTTTCTTAGTCTCATTAAACAAAATCGGTGTTACATTATCGAAAAGGACGTTCGAGGTTCACAAAACAGAGAACTAGTCTTCTCGCCCGTTCGCAGTCGAATAAAGAAGTTAGGAAAAATTAACTGTAAAAAATTATAAAATAAATACCGTAGTACACGTCTAGTAATATATTACATGAAATTCTTTAATTATGTAAATAATATTAAACTTATCACTTCTTGTTATTTTTCAATTACGCTGCCTTTTATCAATTATAAGTATTTTAGTAGTAAGGTTTCGCTTTTTTAGTATTAATATTAGAATATAAATATTAGAATGTCACAATTATTTTGTCCTTACAGACTTAATTCATTACAAGAAAATTGTGGAACACACTTTCTCAATATATTTTTATAGAATAATAGTAACAAGCGAGCTCATAGTTCATAAGACAAGGTAAGTGATTGATGTGGTCTTTAGACACCTACATCTATCCTCGATTAAGAGCGAAGCGTTGTCACATCTTAGGACTAAGTTAAAATGCAATCACCATACTAAACACTGCAGCATTTAGCCACTATTTTATGCTGGTATTCTTTGAGAACCTGATGCTTCCCCGGTCGTGCTATGTCTCAGCTATACATTATAGAGTGCAGAGTGGCTCTAACATGTTAATGGACGACGAACGAGGAAGGATGGCAAGTGAAAAGTCTTAAATTAAAGTTTGGTTTCACCGAGAGAAACATTAAATGTCGTGAGAGGTTAACGGGTACTTTGCTAATATTCTTAGCTTTTACTTCATATTATTAAAGACTTTGGCTCTATGTATAGTTTGTTGTTTATATAATTTCATTCATATAGATCCCTATATTATACTGTGTATTATTAAATCCTTTATTGAAGTCAATTATTTTAAAATAATGTAATCTTTATTTAACGTTCTAATAATATAGAATGATAACAACTCATGTACTGGTGGATAAATAAAAATAAATTTCTTTTGAATAGGTAAGAATAAATGAGTTGGTGCTTGCTGCCAAAATCATTATAAGCCAGAAGTAATCCTTACAATATATTTTATGTTTCATACATTTGAAGCTATTTTTAAAGAAATAGTTTATTCACTAAAATGAAATAAGTCATCATTTTTTATTATACTTATTATTTTGTAATAAATAACTTCAAAGTACCATGCCCATATTAGTATGGAGCTGAAAGTCAGCAATGCCATGCAATGCCCAAATTTCAGCTCTATGTCATATGATAACTTATTAACAGTATTTATATGATATCTAGATTTAATGTCATATAAAGCACCGGTTTAAAAGATATTGGACATTAAACATGATGACTTCCTACTGGTTTGTTTTTTTATACATTTTATCGTTTACAGACAGCATTGCTATTCGTTTTTCACTAGGAACTTCATGATCATCACATAAGCTAAGCCAGATCAGTGTTCTTTTATATACTTATCTGTATGTTATCAGATAAACATGTCAGTTATTTGGAATTATCTGGCCTGCCTCCATTGTATTGTGTCAATATATATGTGAAAACAATTTGGTTAGATACAAAGGTTTAAGTACTCGAGTAAATAATAATATGGAAAGAGACCAAATATGTACCTCATGATAAACCGGTGTTTGTAATGAGATTATAAAAGCACATAGCAATAAAATAGTATGGGTTGTATTAAACTATCTTTTCACGTGTTTTTATATTTAATTGACATCAAATAACTGCTTGACTCAAAGACAAATATAAAATCGAACAATTGTTGTGTGTCTTTTAAGTAAGTACTTATTTACAATTATTTTATAAAGATATTATAGATATAATAGGTTGTTTACCTTTTCTATTACCGGTTTGTTGCTGTATTGGTTTCTGGTGATATGATACAGGTTGCGAAGAAAATAAAAAAGAAGTATAAGTAGGTAAGTGTTTATTGTTTTATTCTTCAATCACAAGTAATATATTATCTAAATATGATGCTGGTCTAGATATATTCGTCTCATGTCTAGCCCAACCCAAATACCATATTATGGCCATAACGTGGCAACAGCATCCCACTGTTCTGTTACCTACGAGACAGTTACAACAATAACCCAATATTACATCTAAGCAATTATTATTAGATGGTTGTGCATCAATTAAAATATATGTAAAATATTTACGGCGACCAACATGGTGCGACTGAATTCGACCCCTTAATAAGTAAGGTCTATTTCCTCCAACGGCTGCAACCATTTCTTCAGAGTGTTCCAGTTCGGGACATACTTCTATTTCATATAAACCATTTTGTCGAATATGCTCGCCATAATACGATCGTGCTTGCTTGACCTGATATGGGCCCAAAGCAAAAAGAATTAAATCAGAATAATTAAATACGGGAAATATATTTAATTGAGGAAAGCTCCCATCGATGCGTCTAAACATGACTGATCGCCTATTTAAATTATAGTTTCTTACAAATTCTGCCATGTAATTCGGAGTATGTTGATACCTCATGGCCCTTTCTATTATAAGAGAAGCATCTGGCCGATCTTGAATTGTAGGATGAAATCTATTAATTAGTGCAGCTGCAATTTTAAAATCATTCATTAAATGCGCGTGAGCTCTATTAAAAAACTACTGGCGAAATAATTTGAAATCTCTTTTAAAACGCCCGTTAACTACTTCGACAACCCATCGACATAAAGTTACTAATCGACTTTTATTCGCTTGAATAGTTGTTAACTGGTGTTCTCCCTCATTTAATGACTCAGGCTTCTGCACATTATAATTGCAGGCCTCTAATAGTGGGATTGCATCTCTGAACCCTCGGTCGAGTATAAATACATCTCCCTCTCTGTAAAACGTTCGCATGGGTCCATTTTCATCACTAAATAAATCTTTCATAATTTCCGCATCCTTTTGTTCCAGTTTCCTTTTGGTAAAAATAATTGGAACTCTTTTCAATATATATGTAAGTGCCATCACATATTGTGATTGCAGGTCTTGTTTGATCTGAGTCATTTGGATTGCCAAAAAAAGCATTTGGAATACTAAGATTTCTTCTTATGATATCTTGTCTAGTAAGATGTTGCAACCCAATATGCAATGGCACAAAATGTTCCATAAAACATGAGCGTACAATGTTCATGTGCCTCTCCATTGTTGATCGAGGTATATTAAATAAAGAAGACAACCTCTTGTTACTGTCCCCTGTCCTCATTTTAATTAAAAAGATAGCCAAAGCAGTTTTTGGTGATGGTACCTGATTAAGTAAAGGTAACTCGTTAAATAAAATAACAAATTCGGTCACTTTGAGACCAGTCCAATAATGACATATGTGGTTGGGCATTTCTTCTACACGTTCAAAATCAAATGTGACAGTGTTTCGTTTTGCAATATCAATTAAATCTTCTAATTGATTGATAGTAAAACTTGATATTGTAGATGATTGTTCTGGTAATTCATGCCAAATATTTAAAAAGAGATGGTGTTGGCAAACACGTGCAAACCGGGGCACATAAAAGTTATATTCTGTAATTAACATTTTTTTAATAAATGTTGGTATTAAATGCATGGATGCATTACCACAGTCAGCATAAATGCAGTGTCGTGATGTACTAGCAGCTCTCTTGTAATGAGGTAAATAGATAGGGGTCGATTCAATGGATCTTTGATCTGGCACAGAGGCAGGTGTAGGTAGAGGGGCAGGGGCAGATGCAGGGGCAGGTTCAGATGGCAACTGTGGTATAGCCATTTCACGTTGAGAATCTTGTGCAGCTTGTCGGCTAGCTCGCCGCCAACAATTATGACAAACTGCATAGCTATCTCTTCCATTCTGAAAATAATTATCATTATTAAATAAAGCAATTTAAGAAAATGATAAAATACACAATCCCTTAAATAACTAAGTTGAGTAACAAAAAAATCCTCAAACCAAGGGAGTTTTGACGTTTATCTAAGGTATGTTTAAAAATGGATCAAATGATTTAATTTTAAAAACTATTCCACTGATATAGATAGGTATAAGAATTATTTTCTAATATGGTATGAGTCATTACCATTAACCATATTCAATATAAGTAGTAATAGGTAAATACCTGTATTGATCTAATCCACGAAAAATATTCATAAAGTGGTCCATTTTCTTCAAGAAAGTGAAGTCTAGCTTCATTCAAAGAACAGCCACAACCAGCACAGACATTTGTATGACCTAATGTCCTAGGTGTATTTACATCAGCATTTTGTATCAATACATAACAAGCATGACACAACACATCCTCCATAGGAAGCTGAAAACAAAACAATGGGTGTTAGTTAGTTGTCACATTCCATAAAAAATGATTAACTAAGTAGAGAGATATGTTATCTTACGCGTCTACGATGAGTTAAGACCTGAAGTTCGATTGTATTAGATAATATTTTATTTTTTATACAGCGATATTTTTATATAACTTGAAACCTGAGTGCGAGACGCACTCAGGTTTCAAGTTATCGTGTACGCATACTTTATCTACAAGATACTGAGATATATAAAGATACTCACATATTCAATTCTCAGCCAAATAGATAAGATTATTAGCAACTCTTGAGGCAGAGTTGTAACCACATGCCTCTGTATTCGTTGAACGCGTAACCCGCAGTTCAGGCAACGCATTTTGTATCACAAACGAAAAGTCCAAATCACAAAACACAGTCAAGTCCTTATTAGAAAAAAGCCGAAGTCACCGAATAAAACGACACTATCAATATCCATAAAACGAAGCCAAGGTAGATTTTTTATCGAGCAGAAAAGTTTTTTCAGATTTTAACAGTTGGGCAGGCAGAGTGAAATGAAAGAATGAGTGACAGTCATTTTAGTTTTTTGGAATTATTTTGACTTGGAGCTAAGTCTTTTGAGCCATTACTTCATTAGGTTTTTGCTTGAATTATATTTGTTTATTTGAAGATATACTTATACACTACCAAAAGCACTTTTTTACTTCTAAGTGCATCATTTAGATCTTTATTAAACTCGTTGATGATTCAAATGTAAAATATTAACCGATATTGGAACGGATTACTTTTTTGACACATATACATTGGCCAAAAGACGTGATTCCAGACCGTATAAATAAAGCATGAATGAATACGTAATACAATGTCAACAGAACGTCTTATTTTTTTTATTTTTTATCCAGTACTTCATATGATTTAAAATTAACAACATAATTCTAGTTTTTATTTATTAAAGCAATCTTGTAATATACTTTATCTGGGCATTTCTGGGGCACAGATGGGCATTGTTATTTCCATTGTGTAGCAGCAGTAAATTTCACACTATCCGAGTAACCCGGGTTAAGTATAACTGTTAAGTAGCTAAGCGTACGACGAAATTTTACAATACAAGAGTTCAATTCACGCCGGTATCAATTTGTTGTGTTTTATGACCAGGTTTGCTAATTAAACGTAATACTAATGACCTTTAACTTCTATTCTTTGAACAAATATAAATTTTAATTGCAATTCTAATCATTGATTTACCATCGGCGGTGAATGAAATTATTTGGGCGCGTAAAAGGGTATTAAAAATGTTTCGAAGCTATGCAAAGTATATCAACAAACGCTGCAGGAACGCTATTTAACAAAATATGTGATATTAATTTTTGCAGAAAAATTGGGCTACAAATTTGAAACAATAGCGTTTGACGAAGAGAAACCTTTTATTTTCAGAGCCAAAATGAATTGAAGGCTTTCAAAGCGGTTATTAAACGTGCAGTAAAAATAACACAAAGTCACGAACCATATTAACGAAAAAGGGTATAAGAGTAAAGAGAAAGCTTGAGATATTACCTTAATGCATTATTGTTAATAAATGTGAAAAAAAAAGAATTTAATAAAAACCCATTCTCTCTTATACAAACTCCGAAGACACGCATTTATATTACAACCATATAGGTTGCTTGCTGGCAGACATTGTTTTGGCCTTTGGCTGTTTTACAATGTATTTATTCAACCACAGCGCCACCAATTGGATCCAGATCTTGTGATTTTCTGTTTAAGCAATGAACCAAAATTATATATTAAGAAATAGCTTTTCAACCGCGGCTTCGCTGGCGTGCGGGCTTGAATTTAGAAACATCGATAATACTATTTAGTACTAAAACTAGCTAAACTGAATCACTTGTAAAGACATGTCAGTATCGGTGTCTATATTGGCAATATCATAAGCTACAGAAACATAAGTTATTTTATCAGAATCGCATAAATATCATACGTCAAGCAATATCTTTTTTATATCGAACATCTCTTCCGACGTGTGTTTTTGAAGGGAAAGTTGTCCTGGAATCGGAAATGTGTTCTTTATATAATATGCATTATTAAAGATGATATAGTGTTGATAAAATAAGGTTTAATTTCATGGTCTTTATTAATATTGGTACCAATGAATATTGATTAGCACCACATGCCAGTATTTTTTTACGCTCATTAAAACGTAAAAAAATACTGGCATGGCATCACCGTGAATAGAACTACATTTATGAAATTTTGAAGACTTAATAGTTCTATTAGTTCTATTCACGGTGAACGTGTAAGAAGAACTAAGCTCATGAACAGAAATCTAAAATAAATAAAACGGGTAACAGCATCTTCCTGATCGTAGCTCAAAATAATAAAAATATGCAGTTGGCAACTCGCATGCCAAGCGTGGCAACTATGGCAAATATCCTACTTAATTGACAGTTTGTAGAGGAAATTCAATTGATGAACGGGAGTAATATATTAGCCAGAAGGAAACTGAAACAGGAGATGAGTAGCATCTTCTTGATAACAGTGGAAAGTAATAGAGAGCTACGGTAGCCAACCCGCATTCCAAGCGTGAATACAACTGCAAATACCTGGTCTATTTGACAAACAATGCGGGAAGTCTATGATCAGCAGTGAATATATAAAATAAACCTAAATACATCCTACTAATGGCCACAGCGAGTTTTAGGTCAAAAGTAGTTGGCTAATTTGACTCCATCGCGGGATGACTGACTTCACATACCTATACCTAAAAATGATTTCCGAAATATTTTTTAACTTCTCAGATATGCAGATTTCCTTGTGATCTTTTTCTTCACCACTGAGAACGTGTAAATCGAAATTTCAAATTGCAGTTAAAATATGAGTGGTGTTGGCGCGGATCTAATTTTGGTTGCTTACGTGCCTACTACGAAATTTACGTTTAGATCGGTTTGATTACCGGCTTATACAGATGACTTTCAAGATTCTATTAATGCAATTCTGCTCACAGCTAAAACAAAAATAAATCCGTGTTTAAAGATTTTTTTGGCTATTTTTAGTACTTTTTCACAAGTGCCTGTTAATTTCCTCATGTGAGCTATGAAAGCGAGACTGTCACAAAACATTTAATAATTATGTCTGAAAATGTAAAAGCTATCTTATTATATGAAAAACTGTTTTAAAAATCTCATTTAAAGTAAAAAAAGTCTGCGTCTACGGTATCACAAACTATTCAATCAACTAAGGATAAAAATATTACAGTGCATTTAATTTTCAAATATCAACTAATTTCAGACTAGAAAAACGAAATCGATAAAATATTGCTATGCCAATAGACACACAACATGTTTAACTAAAGACCTTCACTATCAATCAAAGTTTTGTGTACACAGGTTTTTTAGTAATTTTGCTAAAGTTTACAATTATGATAAATCATGCAGACAGTGGCCACCAGTCTATACCAGTCTGACAATTTTGATACTGAACAATAAGTATGCTCTCTATCGCACAATAAAGCCGATAACATTTATATAATACATAAATTTGCCATAAATTGATGTAGAATCCATAAAAAATTCTGCTTTTATCAAATACACGCGTTCAGCGCTGCTAGCGGTGTGCAATGAAAATATTTTACGATATTACAATGACATCCAGAAATAGCTATGTTTAGTTGTTAATATCGCCAAACAATCTCTATTCATTGATTTGGTCAACCTTTATCATAACATAGTCAAGAAACACTAAAATTTTATGAAATACCGCCATTTCAGTTTCAATAATCGACAATTTTTTATATTATAAATTTTAAGGTCTGACCAGTACATATATAAAAATCTTCTTATTATAAATTATAAGGATAATAAAAGTTTTGTACTAATTGCAACTAAAACTTTTTATAGATTAATACAGATACTTAACACCCCTTTTTTCAGTTCCCTAATCGAATAAAAGTAGCCTATGAGTAGCCCCGAGTCCAGTTACGCGCAAAATTTCATTGAAATCTGTTTAGCAGTTTTTGTTCAATTCAAAAAACTACTAATTTGGCTTCAGTGCCCTTTACTTATACCCTGAACTTGTTTTTTTTTTAGTAAATATTAGAATTACAAACATGACTTTTTTACAGATTAGTTATATGAATAGATTGATTAAAACTACTTTTAAGGATTTTATCGCGTTTTATTTATATTAATTTTAATACCCGACGTTTCGGGTGCTTTCCAGCTCTTTGTTTGCCTATAAGAGATCAATTAGAACCCGCGTAAAAGAACACATAGCTGACGTGAAGCATCAACGTTCCGGGAAGTCTGCAGTTTGCGATCATATTCTAGATGGCCCCAACCATTACATCAGATTTGTTAGACCACAAATCCTCGCGAAAGAACATCGATTCCTACCAAGGATGATACGTAAGGCTATTGAAATTAAAAAACATCCTAATTTCAATAGAGAAGGAAGCTGGGTACTACCACCTGCTTGGGATCCTATAATTAATGAAATTAAAACTAAACCCAAGGATACCACTGCAAGACTTCAAAATACAGTTAGTTCATTCTGCGTAGATTGGACCAAAAACAATAATTAAAAAGCTGAAGGTAGTCCGGGTTAACTTTGACATCGGGACGTCAGTCACCTCAGTCCCCCGTGACCATGGGTGCTGGAAAGCACCCGAAACGTCGGGTATTAAAATTAATATAAATAAAACGCGATAAAATCCGTAAAAGTAGTTTTAATCAATGTATAGTGTTCGCGTAAATATAAAAAATCATTATATATGTATGGATAAAACGCGTTTTGGTTTTGTTCATAAATATAGGATTTCTTAATTACTTATAAAATAATCCCATTCTAGCATACGAGTATGTGTAAAACATCGTTTTGATAAAAAAATATATTGCATTAGCTGTGCCCCGTGTTTTAATTCACCGGCATATATCACGTGCCTGGGCCACGCAATATGACATGACACCTAGTTCAAGCATTTTAGATATCATGTATGGAAAAAATTGGGATCTAGCCATCTTCCTCCTTCCAGGTGAACGTTCCCCCTCGCGCCCCAGAAAGAGCGAGCTTTTTTAGTTTTTAAGAATACCATACACGATATACGAAAATTGTGTAGGTTTGAAATAATCCCTGATTAAATCTAGTCCAGTTCAATCATCCGCTAAAAGGAATCCCTTTATCCTATTTCCTCAATTTTAGGGTATAATGTAGAAAAGGAGTTAAGATGAAGGAGACGTGTTGCCCTTGCTATGACTTTAATTATACTACTCACTTAACAGCTGCAATTAATGTTAATATTAGATCCTTACATATGAAATTAGCGTTTAGTCGTACTGACCACTTTGATCTGAAATATCTCCTCTTTGGTTCAGAATTCCAAATTCA